ATTGTAGAATTCATAGTTTATTCTATAATCTCATTGTATTTTTATCTAGTTTTGTATTGCTTATAAAGTATCTGTTTTATATATTGAGAAATATAGAATTTTGCAGATATAAAGTTTTATATTATATTATCTGGTTTTGGCAGGAAAAAGGCCCGGACNGTATACTACTTAATACAATACTAATCTCCCAATTGTTCTGGGCAATATAAATGTGAATTTCAGTGATGTGAAGAAACAAAAACAGATGCTACAATTGAAGTCACTAGCTATTTCCCACTTTTACTCATTGACTTTCAAATTTTTGACAAAAATGCATTGAAAAAATTTATAATACCAGGACTATTCTTCAATTGAAATATTGCAATGATGTACTAAAGATAATCATCTGTATAATGGCAATTCAGACACTGAGCTATATCTGTATATATAAAATTGAATATTTGATGATGATGCTGCAAAATAAATATATATTTTTTATTATATTTTATTATTATATTATTTTACTATATTTTTTATTATTTAGTGTATATAATATATATACAATATGCATTACATTTGCAAATTCTTAACACACAGAATTGCTTTATCTTCTATTACCCAATGAAAAAAAAGTAAAACACATTTATAATTTTTTTGTTATGTAAACTGATAACTGTCAAATCTAATTTAACTAAATCCTTCAATATTAATTAGTGCAAAAAAACTGGACATACTACTATAATTAACCCAAAATAGCACCTGAATCCAGAAACAAAAAACAAATTTAATAAGTGAACTAATGTTTTTGATTTTATCCATTCATTTTTAACTAAACTTCTTAATTCAAACAGTTGAGGAAATGCAAAAATTTTCAAATTTAAATTAATATTAAAAACGACGCATTTTTATAAATTTTGTGAGAAAAGGGAAATCAAACTTCCTTTCTCGAATGACGATTTCCCGTGGCGAGATGTTATCGCACATCTCCGACCAACATCTGTCCGTATGAATCTGACGAATATCCCACTAGATGATACAAATCATAAACACCGATTGGAGGGGAATTTAGAATAAAAATGGGAAGACTCGAAATCTCGGCGCGGACATTTCCCGAGAAGAGGGATTCCACCATAGCTGCAGGTGACCCCCAGACTCCCGTCCCGCCATTCTCTTGACCAATTCATCTCATTGCTGTGAAGATCCACGATCGTCTTTCCGACTTTCGTATAACCCGGATCTGGAGACAATGCATAGAGGTATTCTACTTAGATTTGTTGTAAACTCTCTCTCGGTATTTAGAGATGTACAGTACAGTACATAAGTGACGTTCGATTTAGCAATAGATTATTTCTTCATGTAGCTAATTCTTATACACATAAAACTCTTGTTATTTGTTAACTTGTCCTGTTCATTTGATTTTTATACGGACACCCTAGCTTACCACGGCTCTCCCCGCTAAAACGCTAAGGCCCTCCTATTTAAAGCCATCCACTGACGGAGTGAGCGGATCCTACCGATCCGACGACTTGCGGATTAGACCCTCACCCGTATTCTCACTGTTAATAATAATTTATAGAATTTTCGAATGGCATGTTTAATATCGATTTAAACATAGAGTTGAATTTAATAGCGAAACTAATCTCTAAGAGCTGGACACACGAACATTTTTTAATATAAGGTATAACGATGTTATAGGCTACCTTATATTAAAAAGTAAGATGTAAAGAAGTAAGGTAGCGAAGATCCACTTGTTACACTTAAAACAGCAATAAGTGCAGGTGTAGGTGCAGTTGTGCAAGCGCCAACATTCTGAGTAGATTTCTCTTTTCCGCCGCTATCACGTTCGCTACTACTTTTAACTGGTTGCTTCCTCTTCTGTCTTCCTAAAAGAAAATAAATAACTACTACTACACTTCCCAAAAAATTAAAAGAACTAATAATTTAAGCTTTTGAACGGACTCTCTACACTAGAAACTTCAACCTTAAAAAAAAACCTTTTATATTTTGTACAAATTTGTTTTATTATTTGCAACTAGCTACTTCTGCTAGTTGCAAAATCAACCATTTCAAAACCATCTAATTATGCAAAACTGCTGCAAAAGTAGCTAATTACAATTTTCAATCGTTATTTAAAATTATTGGAGTGTAGTTTACTTGTTATTATTTCCTTAATATTATTATATGAATTTTCTTAGAATTTCAATAATAAAGACAACATCAAAATCAGTATTATAAGAGGGCTATTTTTAAAATAAGGTCCGTTTGTGAATGACAGTGAAAATGACGCGCGATTGCGGCAGTATGCATGAGCATCTGCTTTCAGCATGCTTTGCGGGTGTTTAGATACTATTTGCAGCCGTATCGCCCGTCTGTGTGCTGAACTGTAGAAGTTTATAATGTTTAAGAAAACTGAGTCACCCGCCGACTGTGAGACACGATCTGTTATTCGGTTTCAGCACGAAAGATCATGATAACTGTCTTTTGGGACAGGAAAGGACTTTGTTAGTGGATTTTATGCCAAGAGGTACAACAATCAATTCTGATGCTTATTGTGACCTTTAGAAAACTCCGCCGTGCCATACAAGACAAGCGGCCTAATGTCTTCAGGCGGCAGGAGGCAGATTTCCTTGAAGTCGGAATTTAAAAAATTTTTGAGTGGTATGAGAAATGTTTGAAAAAAATGGAAATTATGTAGAAAAGTAGTAGATAAAAGTATTTAGAATATGGGAAAAAAATATATTTTAATGATATTTACAGTATTTTTCTTCTTATTAAAAACGGACCTTATTTTAAAAATAGCCCTCGTATTAAACCAAAAAAATAATAAAAAAAAAACAGTCTTCACATTTCCTGAAGATTTTAGGTTGCTTTAGTTAGATTGCTTTGCAACTCATCGACTCAAATGAAAGTAATATAGATACATACTTTTCGTGCTAAAAAAGTTTCTAATATCCATTTTAGATTTCTATTGTTACGGGATTGCGGTCCAAAAATTAAATAAACGCGCGAAAAACGTTAACGGATTTATTAAAACCCTTACAACGTGCAATAGAAATAAATACAACACTTATTAATTTAAAACGACGTAAGAAATCCGGTATTGCTGAAAGACGCAATGACGTTTCAAATATACCTCGCTCGCGATATGTTCTGAACAAACTCAAATGTGCGAACTCACTCAACTGACTCACTCATTCGAACTCACTCATTCGAACTGTTTGCACACTTACATAGGGAACAGAAGGCACTAGAACTTTCCCGCTAAATTCGAACTTTGAACATTCTATAATCTTCGAGTCTTACCACAGACCATCCAGACCTTGAACCGTTTGACTATCAAATGAGCCAGGGGGGAGTGCCACACCCTGCCCCACCGTGGCTACGCCCCTGTAAGAGACCACATACTGTACTAACGAATAGTAATTGCTTACAATGTGTTAAATTTTTCGTAGCGGCAGTTAATCCGTTATCAGAGATGCTCGTATCAATCAATTAACATTATCTAGAATAATTAAACATATATATGATACTTTATGAAAAACCAGATCAAAGTATATTATNATAAAGACAACATCAAAATCACTATTATAAGAGGGCTATTTTTAAAATAAGGTCCGTTTGTGAATGAGAGTGAAAATGACGCGCGAGTGCAGCGGTATGCATGAGCATCTGCTTTCAGCATGCTTTGCGGGTGTTTAGATGCCATTTGCAGCCGTATCGCCTGTCTGTGTGCTAAACTGTAGAAGTTCATAATGTTTAAGAAAACTGAGTCACCAGCTGACTGTAAGATACGATCTGTTATTCGGTTTCAGCACGAAAGATCATGGTAACTGTTTTTTGGGACAGGAAAGGACATTGTTAGTGGATTTTATGCCAAGAGGTACAACAATCAATTCTGATGTTTATTGTGACCTTCAGAAAACTCCGTCGTGCCATACAAGACAAGCGGCCTAATGTCTTCCGGCGGCAGGAGGCAGATTTCTTTGAAGTCGGAATTAAAAAATTTTTGAGCGGTATGAGAAATGTTTGAACAAAAATGGAAATTATGTAGAAAAGTCGATAAAAGTATTTAGAATATGGGAAAAAAATACATTTTAATGATATTTACAGTATTTTTCTTCTTATTAAAAACGGACCTTATTTTAAAAATAGCCCTCGTATTAATACGAGGGCTATTTTTAAATAATTAAACAAAAAAAAAAAAAAAAAGGAAAAAACAGTCTTCACATTTCCTGAAGATTTTAGGTTGCTTTAGATTGCTTTGCGACTCATCGACTCAAATGAAAGTAATATAGATACATACCTTTCGTGCTAAAAAAAGTTTCTAATATTCATTTTAGATTGTTATTGTTACGGGATTGCCGTCCAAAAATTAAATAAACGCGCGAAAAACGTTAACGGATTTATTAAAACCCTTACAACATGCAATAGAAATAAATATAGCACTTATTAATTTAAAACGACGTAATAAATCCGGTATTGCTCAAAGACGCAATGACGTTTCAAATACACCTCGCTCGTTGTATGTTCTGAACAAGCTCAAATGTGCGAACTCACTCAACTGAGTCATTCGAACTGATTGCAGCACTTACATAGGGAACAGAAGGTACTAGAACTTTTTCGCTAAATTTGAATTTTGAACATTCTATAATCTTCGAGTCTTACCACAGACCATCCAGACATTGAACCGTTTGACTATCAAATGAGCCAGGGGGCAAGTGCTACGCCCTGCCCCTCCGTGGCTACGCCCCTGTAAGAGACCACATACTGCACTAACGAATAGTAATTGCTTACAATGTGTTAAATTTTTCGTAGCGGCAGTGAATCCGTTATCAGAGATGCTCGTATCAATCAATTAACATTATGTAGAATAATTAAACATACCTTGTATATATGATACTTTATGAAAAACCAGATCAAAGTATATTATTTCTTACTAAAATTAAAATTTATTTTATGTAAATTTTTAACAATTTTAAGGAGAAGAAGAACAATCGGTTGATAAAGAACAATCTGATGATGAAGAACAACCGGATTATGAAGAACAATCGTATGATGAAGAACCTGAAAGAGCAAAAAGAAATTTTGACATTTGTAAGATAATTATTCAATTTTGAATTTGAATTAATGTCTGTATTAATTTAATGAAACATAAATTAAATTAAACCTGTAAATTATTTTTTATCACTAAAATGTTAAAATAGTTTTTAATAAAAATTATGATAAGAAATTGATTTAATATAATAAATTAAGCACATTAAGTAACCTTTTATTGTAGAAGTGAACTGACATGATCTGATTTAATTTATTTTAATCAATTATTTTAGTATTAAAAATAATTTGTATATTATTTTTCGTTTTTATAATATATAGAAACATAATAATGACTATATCATTATTTATTTTTTAGCTTTTTTATTATTGAAAAATAATAAACGAGGACAAAAATAAATCGCAGCATCAATTCTGACAAAAATAGTAATTCATACAGTCAAGAGAATATAAACGTGTTAACATAGAAATGTATTGGGAATAAATTTGTTTTCTTTTGCTAATAAATTTTGTAAACTAATGTATCTTAACTGAATAAAAGTTAGGTTTGGTACAGTACATATATTTACCTGTTTGGAAATTTGTACATGCGACGTATTCAATTGTACGAAACAACATATCCGTCTTTGCGCGCCATCAATTTTACGTGACTTTTTCTAAAGTGATAAGTATTAATTCTGATAATTGAAGAATATTAAAAGTTTCTGCAAACCAAAATAACAAGAACCAAGCAATACACAAAGAACATCACCAAATCTGGATTTTATATGATATTTAATCGAATACATACAAATGCATTACGACTCAACGATTCATTCTTCAGTATATTGCAATGTTTCCCAACCTTTTTGGATTAGCGACAAACTTTGAATTTAACAAGCAATGTAATTTTTAAAACAAAAATGTTTAAAATTTAAAATATATTACGGTTGATTTGTAAAAATTTTGATAATAGGTTAAACTTACGAAAACAATAACTCATAATTTTACAAATATTCTATAGAAATGAAAATACTATTTGAATCAATGCATAAAAATGATCGGTCTTTAGGCTGGTAAGCCGCGACGTTTATAGAAGCTCCAAAGAGTTTGTACGATACGGGTTGCGAAACACTGGTATACTATATACTTATATAGGATTAAAATTATTCAGTAAAAATTTTTTAGATATTAAAGTTATACAAGGGTCAAAAGTTTAGAATAAGGATTGCAATTGCTGGATCCCTCATCCAGCAATCCAGCTGGATCCAGCGCATTTTTCGGCCTGCTGGATCCAGCATCAGGTGCTGGATCCACAAATACTGAATTAACTTTCTAAATAATGGTGCAAAAGTCTACGTTGTCAGCGTTGCCGCTTTGCTAAGTGCGCTATCGCTCGGAGGCGAGAGCGACGTTGCCATTCAGTGCAGCACGTGCTACACTCCCTCTCTACACCGCACCACCCGTCCTTTTACCTCTGCTGATCTAATTGACAGTTGACTTTTCGCTCTCGCTAAATAAAGTGTTTTCGCGCTAAATAAAATAAGTAACATCCTCTCCTAGTCCTGGTGCATAATTCTAATTTACGGTCGGTTGTGACGTCAATGAATCACGTGACGTATCGCCGCTTCAGCTTCGAGACACCGTCACTTTTTCGACTTTTTTTCCTGATTAAACTCGGTGCGCAATAAAAACGTTATTTATTTCATTTTTCGCAGCTCGAAGAAATTAGAGAATTTGAATTTTTTAAAATTGTTTGAAAAATTTCGGAAAAATTGCGACTGAAAAAATGCCAGGGGGCGTCTGTGACACGCTACATGATCTTAAATGAAAATTGAATTATTTACCACAAAAATGGCTCTAACGATTTGGATTAAACTTGGTTAGTTTAGTGAATCACGTAAATAAATATATAGTGGAACCAGCAGCAACGGCAGAGGAGATTATGGAGGTGGAAAGCGATGATCCAGATAAACCGTATTCCCTGAATTTCACCTTGGAACAAAAATTGGAGATCCAACTAAAGCGTGAGAAAGAAAACTTCATGAAACGGAAAGAAATTAGTACTGAGAAGGATTATGATAAGTTATTAAAAAAGGAAATGGCTGTTTATGAAAATGAGGGAGTCAGAGGTGAAAACTTATCTTTGATTTATAATTATTTGATGACCCTGAAACCAACTAGCGTAGAGGCTGAAAGGGCCTTCTCTGCAGCGGGATATATATGCAGTGCATTAAGAAGTAGGTTGGGAGACAACACCATTAATACTATTTGTTTTTTGAGATCCTACTTCCAGAAAAGTCAAAAAAATAACATGATAACATGTTAAATGACAAAGAAATATTTGATAACAAAAACATATTTGATGATAAAAAATAATATGAAATAAAAAAATAACACAAAAAAATAAGTGATTGATTTAATTTTATTTAATCCTTTAAAATACTTTATTCAAGACAAGACT